GCATTTTAATTTAATTTTAAATGAAGCTTCTTAAACATTTTGAAAACCTTGTTTACTTTACATACAACAATAGTTTAGTTATATAATATAGACTTATAGAGAGAGACCTTCTAAAAAACATTAACATGTATTACCAGCACGCGAAACCTTAAATTAAAGAGAATAAATGAAGACTCGGCACACCACTTCTGAAAGGTTGCCTACCCCTGTACTATACTAATAATTGACCCAGTCCTGAGCAACATCCTGTTGGTAATTACAGCCTGTTGCTGACGCATTTCTAATTGGATACTGTTTCTCGACCCCTGCATCTCATAGTTTACCCTCTATAACTCTCCTCTCCCGTGTTTTTAATTTTCACCCTTTACATCCACAGTTACAAAACAAAGAATTCAGGGTTCCATATGTGCCCATTACATGGGTATGGAATGGGTTATCTGAAGGTAAGATATTCATTAAAAATTAATGCCTTATTCATAATAATCATTTAATTTGGAAAGTTTTTTCATAGGTAAATGGATCTGAGGAACAGATGAGAGATTAAGCATTCGCTAATACATTCATACAGATGGGCCTCACACAATAACATGGGGCCTACTAGAGCTGACCAGCTGGGTAGCTTGTAGATTATCAGAGAAATGTCAGACCTGGAAACAAATTATACATCCTGTTGATTAGAACAACCACCAATTTCCATAAAGTAGATATGTAGATTTTTTAAATACGCAACTTTCATCTACACTAAAAATCTCATCTTTTATCAGGTTTCCACTAATAGATAATACTTAAGTAAGCAGCAAACATGTATGTTTTATACTGATTTTTTTAATTATTATTTAAATGTGTTTAAAAGAATTGCACTCTTCCCTCTCAGCACCTTTCAGATTCAGGACAAAACAAAACTTCTTGGTTACTATTTAAAGATCTAATACTTTGGATTCAAATTCAGGCTCCCTAGTCTTTCTCTTTCCTGAATTGAGCTGTGTTCCTATCATGCTGAGTCTTCAACATACTAGTTTTCTAGATGATGCATTTTATTTGGAGGAGCCTTCATTTCCTTTCTTTTGGCAGATTTCAGGGCAATTTGTGTCACTTCTCTCTCAAGGTCTGTAATGTTGACTTTGCAAGATACTGTTTCCCTTACACAGTTACCCATAATTATAAATAATGAAAATAATGTGCCCAGCTGATGTGGAGAGGGAGCTATCAACAAGACAGTAAAAGTTGAGGATATCTTTCCCAGCTTGCTAACTAGAACACTCTGGCCTAAACTAGACTCCCACAGAGATCAGAGGGATTTGCACCTAAGAGCAGGATATGTCTACTCTCTCATTCTGACCATCAATGTACTACTCCAGTCCACTCTAAGATCTCACAGCCAAACTTATCAAATTCCCTCCCGCAAGCCACAAAGTCATGTTGAATATGAATATGAAATGGAGGAGCATTTTGATGTTTGTAATTAAGAATGTAAACTCAATGACGAGGAAGCAAGGGAAACAACCTGCTGAATATATTCAGCATGGCCCCTGGAGGGTGTATAAAGCTGGCACCCACAGAAGATGAGAATAAGAACTTCACACTTCTTTCTGGTGAAGAAAGTTGCCACACATGCTCACTACCATGAGCAAGGGGGCTTCGTTGAAAGGTAAGTCTCTTGCCATTGGCTTTTTGATATTTTGTGTGTGTGCGTGCGCGTGTGTGCTTCCTTTAAGTTAGAGTGAATTTGGTATGGAATGAAGAAAGGTGTTGGAGTGACAGGTCTGTAGACTGAAGTCCTCTCTTTAGCCATACAACAGATACAGTACAGGCAGCATCAGTGCAAGCTTCCTCCATCTCTACGTGGAGAGTCTATTCCTAGGAGTGAGAAGGTAGTTTGGTCCCTATATCTATTCAGTCCTTTATCTGTTGGCCTCTCTGAGGGCTTGTCTTCATGTACAGTGCAGCTGCGCTGCTGTAGTGCTTTAAAGGGTATGTCTACATTACCCAGCACTGTGACATCGGCAGTGTAGACATGCTTTATCGCCAGGGGAGAGCTCTCCCAGCAATAAAAAAACCCCACCCTGAACGAGCAGTGGTAAAGCGCTGTCTATACTGGTGCTTTTCAGCGCTAAAACTTTTGTCATGCGGGGCAGTGTTTTTTCACACCCCTGAACGACAAAAGTTGTAGGTAGACACGGACTTAGTGAAGATGCTACTATACTGACAGGAGAGCTTCTCCCATCGGCATAGTTAATCCACCTTCTTGAGAGTTGGATTTCTCACATCCCTGAGCAATGTAATTATACCAATGTAGGACTGTACTGGCCTCAGACTAACAGGAGTACTGATTAATGTCAATTATAATTGATTTAAGGATGTGACATCGGCACACCCAGATTGCCTATTTATTTCACAAAAACCACTGAATAGCTGTCAGAAAGCAATGACTTTCAGTCATTACCTACATTGTCCAAAATCAAACTAGGGATTTACAAGTGAATGGCCCTGTAACCTAATCCCAATCTCTTGAGCCATGTAGTCTTAATGTTCCTTCACCATCTGATTCTTTCCCAGCACACTCCTCTATCTGCAGCATTTTGAGTGCACATTGTTTATGGGGTTTGCATTATAATGGTTGTGTAGATAAAATGAATTTTTCTTGAATTCAGAGCCAGGGAGAAACTTGCTGAACTACACGCTATTCCTTTAATAGATGATATAAAGGGGGTTCTTCTGTTTTATTGGGTATATTTTAGTTTGGCACACATAAAATGAATACATTTGATAAAACAGTATATTTATCAAGTCATTTTTCTGGGGGAATTCTACCTCTAGCTGCATGGGATACTAATATTTGAACCAATGTATTAATTTATCAGGTATTATTTTTTTTAAAGATTTCACTGTACTTCTGCGCATATTTTATTTCATTGGGTAGAAAACTGATTCTGTCAAGTTAATGTTAAAAGTTTTACCAGATCTGTTTTGTCTGTAAGACATTCAGAAGTCCTTTATAAAAGCTTCAAAAGATCAGAAAGGGACTGAAGTACACTATGGGTTTTGTTAGCAGTAGGCACTTTAGGGTTAAACTCAAATTGCTAAACAGCACAGCTGCTGGAAATCTTTTGAGGGAATTCCCAGGACAATCAAAATCTTTAGAGAGTGACATAACCACCCTCCCTCAAAATTAATTTAAAAACTGCAAACATTTGCAAAGAAGAAAAGCACATTTGTGGGGGCCGGGAGAAAAATAAAAGGGAGCAACCTACTTTTCCAACTATGTATCTATGAAAATATAATTATGTATTTATATTTACAAAGTGGGGAAGGCTGATTTTTCCCCACTTATTGCTGTATAATGAAGGCAGGTACAGTGGTAAGAGACAGTAGAGAGTGCAGTACATTGTAACACAGGGAACACTGTTTCCTAAAAAATTGTGATAGTTTCTGCTATACGACGCCTTCTAAATCCATATATCTGCATTTTGTTTTTTGTTTTAAACCTGAATAGGTGTGCTGCTGGTGGTTCTGCTGGTATCTAACATGTTCCTGTCAAAGAAAGGTGTGACCTCATTGCCAATCTGTCCCAGTGGGTCTGTTGGTTGTCAGGTCTCCCTTGGGAATCTTTTTGACCGTGCAGTTAAACTCTCACACTACATCCACTCCCTCTCCTCAGAAATGTTCAACGAATTTGTAAGTACTCAGCCTTTTATGAGTGAGACTTGACAGAAACTGCAGTACAATACTTTAAAAAAAAAAAACACAAGTGGAGCTTAGCAATATGAAATGGTTCAGGCTTGGGGAAACAGGGTTAGTAGTGTCTGTGTCCACTACAGCACGCTCCCCTCCAGAGTCTGAAATTATAAAAAAAGAAAAATCAAATTCTGCCAAGCCTTATTATGATGCAGTCTTTAATTTTACATGATCACATACTTTTTTTCCCCATAGGACTGGACCTTTAGTTTTCTACAAACAACATTAAACATTTTCCTAGGACATAAGCAAACTGTACCAGGTCTCATTAAAATAACCCTTTTTTCAGAAAGATTGGATCTGGACTGACTCAATACAAACTCAGATATCAAAGACATCAAGTTACTCTATTCCTTCTAGACTCAGTGATGTGCAGGCTTTCAGTCACTGACTGCTGAGTTTATACATGCTTGATATAAAATGTGATGGCAAGAGTATAGGTGCCAATATTTGAAAATTATTAATAAGGCAGTTTGGGAGGGAGAGGAAGAAGTAGAAAAATTATCTCCAGTGAAATATACTGAACAAGATTATTCTTTTGGAAGGACAGTTATAAAGAGTCATAAGCAAGCCATAGGCCAGTTACATCTGGAATATTTGAGGAAACTGCCATTCCTATCACAATATATTTAAACAACTTCAAAATTGTAAAGTAGAAAAAAGATATCCACATAGTTCATTCTGTGGACCACTTTATAAGGAAGATTCTCCTCACACACATCTTACCCCCTAGATCTCCAAATCCCCTACTATTTGATTCTCAAAATGATTTAGTTTTTCAGACCACCAGGAAGGGTTGTAAGAACCACTATACTAAAATATAGGACCTATCCCTTCTAAACAGATTCTGTGCAGGAATCTAATCCCAGAAAGTACACCTCTACCCCGATAGAACGCTGTCCTCAGGAGCCAAAAATCTTACCGCGTTATAGGTGAAACCGCGTTATATCGAACTTGCTTTGATCCGCCGGAGTGCGCAGCCCCGCCCCCCCGGAGCGCTGCTTTACCGCGTTATATCCGAATTCGTGTTATATCGGGTCGCGTTATAGCGGGGTAGAAGTGTATTTTCCTTCCACAGTTTTAGGTCATATCAACTCAAATAAAAGAATCTAATCCCAACTACTTCTCTATATAGTGGCTGGACAAACACAGCACATGCAGAGATGAAACCAAAGGGAAAATACCTACTTAATTTCCTTTAGAATATCTGATCCACAACTCATCTATTTATTTATTTATTTCATAAATGCATGTTGTTGTTGATCCACAGGATGAGCGCTATGCTCAAGGTCGGGGATTTATTACAAAGGCCATTAATGGCTGCCACACTTCCTCCCTAACCACTCCTGAAGACAAGGAGCAAGCTCAGCAGATTCACGTGAGTCTCATTTTTAACCTATTTCAGAATGAAAGGAGGAGAAAGAGGCAATAGTGAATTTAGAGATGGCTAGGTCACAGCTAGTTGAAAGAGATAAAACAGTTAATTCAAAATCAAATGCAAGGAAAAGAAAAGTAGAAAATGTCAAATACTGATGAAAATTCTTACAGATATTCAGTTTCAATATATGTACTATAAAAGAAACAATCTTATTCCTGTTGCTCTCAGTCTCCCTCTCTTTGTATGTTACATTCAGTTACTGCATACTGTTTCAAATTACATTATAAACTCTCTGAAGCAGAGGCCAAGTCTTTCTTTATATCTGTATGGCACTCTCATTGGAGCCTTTGGGCACTACTTTAATACAACTAGATAATAATTAAGCATGATAATAATAAAGGTACGGGAAGGAGCAAAGTGGGCATCAGTAGTCAAAGAGATGCATAAATACAGTAGGTACTATGCTATTGGCTCTATAGTTACTGTAGCAGTTGACAGACTCTAAACAGATAACCATGCAATAGCCACCAGATAAGAAGTGGCCACATCATCACTCAGATACAGAGACTTTAACAACACAAGGTAATTGTAACAATCAAACAACTTGTAAAGAGAGTCATGTTGGATATTGCCACATTAAATTCTGTATTCTCCATTTTATGATGGCAGCCGTAAACAGAGATGTGTATGTCCACCTTCTTTTAACCCTTGGAAATGCTTTGGAGAGGACAGTGTGCAAGCTTAGTCACCAAAGAGTTACGCCAGAGTTTGATGTTTTCCCAGTTGCACCCTAGTCCGAGTTTTGCAATCCCAAGATCCTCCTTTTAGAATATTATGCAATAGGGTTACAAATTCTCTTTCTTTTAGCACAGGAGCAGATGCAGAATATAAGTCCCATGTGTCAACTTTAAAAGGTTTCTAGTGCCGCAGAATGGTTAGGAGCACCCCCAAAAGAGCAAAAGCTTTTTGAGCTTCCACCTAACCCCAAGCAGTGAAAGTTTCTAAAGAGAAGAACTTTCCCTGGAAGCAAAACTCTTCAAAGGGGATGAGGAAGATGACAGGGTATGTTTACTATGCTCTGTAGACAGTAGAAATCCTTTATAAAAGGCATTAAGTGGCCTACCCCAGAGTGTATCTTCTATTCGGTGCTGAGATTTTTTTTCAGATCCCACCAGACTTCTAAATCTGTCTCATTAAAAATTAGCTAATTATCAAGTTAAATGCAATTCCGTTCACAGAGGCTAAACCTAGTCGCTCTCACTATACAATATACTGTGGAGACAATTTTGGTGATATTTTGTATTTACAGTATTTTATCCATTCATCCAATTCTCTTTTAACACATTGTTAATAATAACTGATTGTATTTACATGAATACACCATTCGCAGAGGGGTGAACTGAAATATATGGAGAAGACAAGTGATGTGCCAAAGGGCACACTGCAAATCCATGACAGAGCTAGAAATAAAATCTAGGTTCCCTCAGTCGTAGACCACTGCTCTAACCTGAATACAGCACTGCCTCCTCATGCTACCTTCATACAGTCTTTTTGCTTTAACTGCATCTTCTTAATGTTGATGAATAGCATGAAGACCTACTGAATTTAGTGCTCGGAGTACTGCGCTCCTGGAATGATCCCCTGCTCCACCTGGTCTCTGAAGTGCAAAGTATCAAAGAAGCTCCAGATACCATCCTCTGGAAGGCTGTGGAGATTGAGGAACAAAACAAGCGTCTTCTAGAAGGAATGGAGAAAATAGTTGGACAGGTAGGTGAGCATTAGGGCCTTGATATCCTAGTTCAAAGCTCCCTGGAAGCCACATACAGGAGTAGGCTCACTCTGTTCAGAGCAGGAGAGCGATGGAGATGGAGGGGGAGGGATTCTCAGGACTCATCTGCTCTGATTCCAAACGTGCTGTCCCTAAAGGGACCCTATGAAGATTGGCATGGCATAGCTTAGTTTCCATCCTTCCTGAACACATCCCTACACCAGGGGAGGGTGCAGTTGGAGCAGGACCTGGGTCTGCCGGTGTTGCATCACAAAAGAGGCACTAGATGAGAGGCTGAATTGTAATTGAGAATCTGGCCCACAATGTTGCCCATTAAAGAAGCAATGCCTTAATTCCTTCCCTTTTGGCCACTAAGAAACTATATGCTTTTATTGCACTACAGTTTTGGTGTCTATGTGTAGACAGAAGGAAGGGATCACCTTTTATAAACAAACAGTTGACACAAAAAGATCCTGCTACGTCCAACATATGCTACAACACTGACAAGCAGAATTATTATAACTAGACGCTAGCATGCTTCCTTTTATACTCAATTATTAATCTTTGAAATGTGTGCTGTCTTAACCTTGTGAGGTGGTTTGTGGATGCTGTGTTAATATCCTTTGCCTAATTTTTAATCATCTTTATATTTCTCTAAAGAGGCTAGAAAGTCAGATTACTTTTAATTTTAAGAACAAGTCATTCTGTTTATTAGAGGGGAAGGAGAACTTTTTTCCCTCCACAAATGGGTATTCACTTGTATCTAAGATTATGCCAGGCCTAACGATGCCTCCTGGCAAAAGTTTCCACTATGCAAGAGGCTTTACTCTAGTAATGGAATGATTGTGATGCAGAAATGCATAGCCCATATATGTACTAGAGATGATAGCACCGACTATTATTAAGGTACACAACATTTCCCATTATAAGACCCTGTTTCCAGTTGCTTATAACTTTGCCAAACTACCTATTTGGGCTGAAATTTCCCATGCTGGGTGTCTGCCTCAGGCTGGATTATTTGGAAAATTTTAACCAAAATGGCTGAGTCATTTCCAAGAACAAAGCTAGGGAAAAATATTCTAGATGGCCTCATATTTTGGAGTAGCAACCTGAAATTTGACAGGTGGGTGGCCTTTGCCTCCACCTGAAGGTTCACCCAAATTGATCCAAGAGATAAGCCTTTGAAAATTTGCAGTTCACACATGCTCAATAGAGACTTGTTACAGCTTTACAGTTTAATTCCCCAAACATTCCATCTGAATTGAGTATGCTCCAGCCTGGGGCTTCAGGGGCCCGAGAAGGACTTTCCTGCAATTGATGTTCCTGGCTGCTCCAGGCTGTGATGAGTCTGGATCCAGGCACCAGAACTGAGAGCAGTGAGTCTGTCTTTCCTGTGCACTCAGTGCTCCTCATGCTTGTCCCAGGCAGAATGGAAGAAGAAGGTGCCTTAATCGAATGTAGAGAGGATAAAATCCAGAACTGGTGGGGATGGGGGAGTAGAATGGGACAAGGAGCCTGGGGAGTGAAGACTGGGAGAGTTGGCATGGGGGAGAGAACTGGGACTAGGAGTTTTGGGAAGAGACTGGGATTGGCTGGGCAAGGACACTAGCACTGGGAACTGAGTGGGTGGATGCTGAGATTGGATGAAGAGTCAGAGGAGACTGACTGGTAGCCAGAGTGGACAGGATGTGTGAGGCTGACTGGAAGCCTTGGAGGAAGAGAGATAAATTGGATGAGGAGCCAAGAGTGGGGAACTGGTACTGGAATGAGAAGCCTGAGTAAGGGAGTCTGGGACTGGCTACATGAGGAGAAATGAGACTCGGACAGGCTGGAGAGGAAAGAGCAGAAGGAGTCAAGCTTGGGGAAAAACAGGAAGAAGACTTTGTGGCCACTAGAGAACACATCTCTCCAAAGCCTGGAAAGGAATTCAAGATCCCTGAATCTAACCATTCCTCTCCTGAGAGCAAATATCTGTGAAACCCTCTGGCAGAGAGTTTCATCCCCTTATAGTACTGGTTCACATAGAGGATGACAACCTACTACTGCCATCATTTACTCCATTGGCTCAAGTGGCAGGGGTCTCTGTAGAGAATCTAAAGATTCCAACTCTGCAAATGTCCTATGTGGGTGTCAATATGATATCGCATGAGGGAATTTCTGTTTTTTCAGTTTATTTTTTAAAAACCTAGGAAATTACACGCACAAAAACTGCATTAAAAGGACATTATTAAGGTTGCAAAGTCAAGCTCTCAAAAGTTAGGAAATGACAGATGAAGGTAGCCTGTGCAAACTTAATTCAGCCCCACTGTGCCTATCCATTATTATACAGTCTTTACTTACATGATCACAAACTATTTTTTTCCACAGTACTCCTGCCTCATTCCGTGCACACATTGGACCTGCTCTTGGGATGAATCAGGGTTGGATAAAGAAAGAGGCTGTTGTCTGAAGGGGTCCCTGCCTTATTTACTTTGAGAAATCAGGTCTTAGAGGTCTCACAGATTCACAGATTCCAAGGCCAGAAAGGACCATTGTGATCATCCAGTCTGACCTCTTGTATAACACCGCCATAGAATATATTTCCTTTTGAACTAGAGGATTAGCACCCACATATAGTGGATACTTTTTACTTTAATCTCTCTGTTCCTCAGTTCCCCATCCGTAAAGTGGGATATTAACAAAATAAATATTAAATAAATTCATTAATTTTTGTGTAACACTCAGATACCATGAGGAAATAATTCATTCTTCAGAGCAGGATTTGAATAGTGTGCAGTAAATAAGGCCTAGGTCACACATTGAGCAATGAGGAAAAAATAAAATATTGAATAGTGGTTCACTGAGTGCTGTCCATCCTGTGCACTGAATGAGGTAGGTACTCTGTGGAAAAAGTAATTTGTGATCATGTAATTAAAGACTGTATCATAATCCACACACACAAGGAGGGAACCTTAATTCTGGCATTTCCTTACATTGGAGTGCTTGACTTTGCAACTTTAATAATATTTTTAACATATATATATTTTGTAAGTAATATATATAGTATTGCTTACAATTCTCCAAACAGGAAAAGAGGTGTTTAAGAGTCTGTTCTTGAAGTCTTGCATTTTGCAAGAATTCCCTGACAATAAACATGGAATCTTTCATTGCAGAGGTGTCCTCCTCTCTGTCTTGGCTCTGATTCCTGAGCATTATGAGAAAGTCCCTCCCCCCTTAGTTTGGTAAGGCTAGACAACGTAGCTGTTGTCTGACAGAACCTGTATATGAGTTATGAGTAACTGATTGAAAGCTTTCCTGACTAAAAGCAGCTCAAGTTTGTTTATGTTTAATGGGGCCTCTGACAGATCCCATAAATCAATCAGTAGCTGAACTGGACTTTACAAAGTTTCAGACTTCACTGGCTTTGGTCAAGCTCTAAACAGCTGAACATCCTTAAGAAGTGCTCACAGTATGCACCAACTTCTACTACAGCACACACAAAACATGGTCTTATTCTCTCAGTTTGGAGTCTGTTTAGACAGCAACCTGACTTTGTTCATGACCCCAACTGCATCTACCAATTAAAGCCAAGACATCTCCATCCACATCCATGTGTAAAACCTGCAGGAAGGGGTCCAAGATAACAGTGGAAATCAGGTGCTGCTAGAATCGTCTTCTTACATGTTCTTATTCTAGGAACAGATTTAGAGATCAGGTTGGAAAGATCAGTAGTGTCAAGTCATGGTTTCTTGTCCACCAGTAAGACTATTGCAGTGTGGCCAATAGCTTGTCCAGACAGAGACAGCCATAGGCAGTCTTGGTTTGTAGTTGTTCCCCACTGGTTTTCACAGGAGGGATGAATCAGCTTCACAAGTGGTGATAGGAACAGGTGATCTTCCTGCTATTAGGTATAGTTTTTCTTGACAAGAGAAAATAGATGAAAGCCTCTTCCAAATGAGAAGAGTTTAACCAATCTTTATTTTAGATGCTCACTGACTACATGAGTTTTTACTCAATCTTCTATCAGATTTCACTGTATCACGTATGGTTTCCCCCTCATGTTGTACTGGACCCCAGTATTTGCTTTGTAGAAGTGGATATTTATATGAAGAAGCACTCTTGATGTCGGTCTCTGTCTTTAACATACTCCTGAGGCTGTCCATACCAGAGTCTTTGTCTCAGAGAAGGGCTGAGACAAAGCTGGGAGGGAGGCACATGTAAAGAAATCCCAAAAGCAGATCCATCCACCTGCCCAGGAAAACTTAAAGGCAGATTGAACCAATAGGCAATGCCACTGGCAGGGCTGCAAATGATGGAAGGAATGGCTTTGTTATGAAACCAGATTCCATCAGGCATTAGAGCAGGTAAGCACTGTATATACTGTAGAAGAGCAAACTTTTAGTGAAAGACTGATAGCAAAATCATATAGATACACATAGAAATATAATGTAGCATTATTTTGAGGTACAGATTTAATGTTCCATACATTAGGGTGTGTCATGCCCGCAAGATCTTTGGGACCATAATGTAAACCAGAGTTTTACAAGCTTTAATCAATTAGACAGCATACCGAAGGCAAGCATTACTTGGCTCTTTGGTGCTTTACCTAGAACTCTCTTGTCTGATTCCCTAGCTTCTATAGCTTAGCCTAGTAGTGCTGTCAATGAAATACTATCACTTTGTTTCCTTTTGATTAGGTTCATCCTGGTGAAATAGAAAATGAAGTCCACTCCAGGTGGTCAGGTCTCCCATCCCTGCAAATGGCAGATGAGGACTCCCGTCTCTTTGCCTTTTACAGTCTGCTGCACTGCCTGCGTAGGGATTCCCACAAAATTGACAACTACCTGAAGCTGTTAAAATGTCGCCTTATCCATGATAGCAACTGTTAAGTATTCCCTAGGCCCATCCCTCTCTGAAATGATATAACTAAATCGTTCAAAGAGGCCTTCTTGTTGCTTTGCCATTTTTTGTTGCAAACTTTGAGAAATTACATTGTGCTGTATAAAGATCACCAATAACATTTATGCATGTTTGCATGGTTTCTGGCTGCAACCAATAATGTTGTTTATCTCAATGTTTAAAAACTTTTATCATAAATCCCTTGTACTGTAGTAATACACTGTACTGTTTACTTATCTCAGCTACTGGCATCTCAGTGATAACCAAATCATGCAAATACAAATAAAAATATTACTAAAACCAAAATGCATAAATATGTGAGTTGAATCAGTGCAGGAAAAATGGTTGCTACGCCTTAAATCTTTAGCAACAGGAGCTTCTCCTTTTGGGTCTCCATCTCCAGTTATTGATGCGCAACATGGGCTGTCCTAATTCCCTCCTCCCACATCCTACTCCTAAAATTAAAGGGATGTAATCTAGAGGATTAACCTCAGCACTGGAAAGCAAGGTGGTCCTCCATTCCAATCCTAATTCTCCCAGTTTCCAAACATTACTAAGTCCTCACAACAGCGCTAAGAATTACGCCTTTAGTATTACCTGCATTGTACAAGTAGGGAAGCAGAAGCTAAGAAAAGATAAGGGACAAATTGTCTCCACTAATTTTGGGTGCTTCCATTTTTGGGCACCCAACTCGACACACTGAGGTTGAGCACCCAACAACTGAGTCACCTAAAATTATTAGGCATTTTGGAAAATTTGGGCCTAAGATCACACAGCAAATCAACTTGAGAACCAAGATTGGAACCTGGGCTCCTAGTTACTAGGCACATAGTTATTTGATTAGACTACAATGCCTTGCCAGGCAAGTTACTTAATTTCTCCATGTCTCATTTTAACCATCTCTCCAGTGGGTGTCATGATAGTCGCCTATCTAAACTGCATGTGCTGCGTACATATCTGGATATTTTAAATCCTTTATAACTTCATATTTCATTTGTATACTATATAATTATCCCCATTTTACAGCTATTTAATGAGAGGCAGAACAAAACAAACTTCTTCCTAGTCAGTCACTATTGACAACTGCTATAAGCAGCATCACTTTAGCCACCACTGAAATACAGCAAACTACGGTTGGGTGCAACAGCAGTTTAACAGTCTACAGCTATAACAACACAACAGTTAAGGACAGGGAGCAAATGGGTAAAACTGGGTAGGCAGAATGTAGTTGCTCAAAGTGGAATTTCATCTGGATATTGGAAGTAACATCCCTTTTGTTGTAAAAACAATGCCACAAGTTCTTTACTGATCACAAATGCTTAGAACTTCAGTTTGAGATCTCATTTAAAAAAAAAAAAAAAGGCCACACATCTCTAGTCGCACTGTTCAGTACCAGTTCAGGAGGAAGAGCATGACCTATTGAATCACCACCAACTCAAGAGCTCCTATCTATGTGTTGAAATGTCCCCGTGATAATTAACTTGTAATTTCTCTTGAGATCAAAACCCAAAGTAGCATGGCTACTGATACACACAAACTTTGAATTCAGTAGAAATTAGTCTAAAAAGAGTAGATATTTCTAATTCTAGACTCTTATATGAATAGAGCTAAAATAATACTGTAACTTTCTTCACTCTACAAAAAAATAAGTGAGATTTGATGTAGCCATCCAAAAGGAGAAGGTAGCAGCTTCAAAAGTGCAGTTTCTCAACTTCCCTCAAACAATTGTTGTTGTAAAGGATAACTTATTTTTTAAAAAGCATAAACATCTGATTTATTGCAGCTTGGTTTAGTATGATTTTGGGTTTTGGGAGCTTTTTAATTTGGTGGAGAAGCAGAGGAAAGATGAGCAAAAATGGATTTTAACAACTGAAAAGTAGACTGGGTTTGCAGCTGCTTAGCTAAGGGGACATTTGAAACAGATCTGGTTAACTTACTGAGTCATCACAGCTGTCAGAGAGAGACTCACAATCCCATAACCATAGTCAAAATTAGACCTGTTCTTCCCATGTCCTGGCACAGACAGTGCCTGTAGGATGCAGTTTCTACTCTCCAGGTCTTCAGGCCATCTCCACAACATGGTTACCTAAAGTTAATGGAGAAAGAACCAACCAGTAAAAATGAGGAAGTCATTGGCTGCAAATATGTGAGGTGAGTCAATAACAAAGCTCCCACTGAATTCAATGGAGTCAGGATTTCACTCCTGATATTAGAAGCAAAAATCAGATGCTCAGGGAAAGGTCAATTTTCGTTTTTAAGAGCTTTTGTTAGAAGGTTATATTAAATGGTTTAGGCAAAAATTAAAAAATCTTACAACTTTAAAAGTACTTCTAATAACTAAACCTGAACATTTCATGGGAGGAAGCTGTTCCACTTTGTATGGCGGAGGTACCCAAAGTGTGGGGCACACCCCTTAGAGGGGCACGGAGCAACATTCGGGGGGGTCACGGCAGAGCCTGGGGCCAGCACCCACGGGAGTGGGGAAGGAGTGCCACCCAGCCCTTCCTCGCCCCCAGCTCTTCTCCAGTCCCGCCATCAGCCACATCCCCAGCCTCAGCGTAGCTCCATTCCCGGCCCTGTATCAGCCCCCAACCTCGGCTGCTAGCAGCAGCTCTGTTGCCGGCCCGGGGCACGGCCGCGAGTGGAGCAGCATCTGGCCATGGGCCTGGCTACCAGACCCCACCGCACCCCGACTGCGGCTCTGCTCCCACCCTCTGCCCCTGGCTGCGGCTCTGCTCCTGAGCCCAGATCCACCCCCAGCCTCAGCCCCCTTACCGCTGGCCACGTCTCCCCCCTCCACCTCCTGGAGCCACAGCACTACACCCAGCCAGGTTCCAGAGGAGCAGGAGGCATGGACAGGGATAAGGGGGGGGGCATGACCCTCAAAAGTTTGGGGAACGCTGTTGTATGGACTACTTAAATAGTCATTGGGCCACAGAGAGAGAGGTTGACTCTATAGCCTGATGGTTAAGGTACTCACCTGCAGGGCCGGCTACAGGCACCAGCCGACCAAGCACGTGCTTGGGGTGGCTCCTTGTAAGGGGCAGCCAATCTTCGGGTGGTGGGGCGGCGCTCGAGGGTTTTTTGTTTGTTTGTTTCAGCGGGGCAGGACGGCGCTCGGGGGGGTTGTTTCGGCGGGGCAGGGCGGCGCTCGGGGGGGGGTTGTTTTAGCGGAGCAGCGCTGCCTTTTTTTTTTTTTTTTTTTTTTTTTTTTTTTGCTGCTTCGGGCGGCAAAAAAGTTAGAGCTGGCCCTGCTCAACTGCGAAGGCACAAACATAGGATCTAGTCCCTGCTCTAATAACTATTTAAGTATGCCACACAAAGTGAAACAGCTTCAACAGAGACCTTCACTCCAGATTCCCTATAGTCCAGCAGTTAGGGAACTCACCTGGAGGTTCAAGTCCCTGCTTCAAATCAGGCAGAATGGGGATTTGAACATGGTGAGTGCTCTAACCACTGGGCTATTGGGTATGGACAAGGGTAGGCATCCTCATCTCCTGGCTATCTTTCGTGCAGGTTAGTTATGCTGTGAGAACACCTACTGGATCAGGTGCCATTGGAGAGCTAAACAGGGGAATGCCTGGTTTGAGAGTCTCACCAGGGCTTAGGCACGAGCTAGGCGCCAAGTAGCTTGGTGGCTTCACGGCCTAGGCAGTTGTGCACCTGCCCAATGGCCGAAATGTAGGTACCGAAGGGACTTTGTCTGGTGCCTAGTTTTGTGCCAGTAATGAGAGTTGAGGGCGGTGCATGCCAGAAATACTCTTGACTTTACAAGATTAAGTCCCATAACTACTCTGTGCCTCCCTTTTCCTATCTATAAAATGAGGATAATACTTTACTAGCTATCAGGGATGTTGTTAATTCACTAATATTTATGAAACATTCAGCTACTTGGGTGTTTAAAGCTTATAAACATAGATGTATGGTTATTATTGGTTGTAGTTAATCTTCAAATGGGAACCAATAATCTGTTAATTGAGTACTGGAATGGAACTCAGAACTTCTGAATTCTGTTCCCATCTCTTCTACTGACTCATTGTGTAACAATAGGGAGATCACTTAAGTGTTCCATGCTTCTGTTTCCCAAACTAAGTTAATGATATTTACCCACTTTTCTAAAGTGCTTTGAGATCTGTAGGCAAAAAGTGATATCAGTATACAAGCACAAAGTATAGTTTTTCTATGTAGACGCTAGAGATTACATAGCATTGATGTGTGCTATTGAGGCAGACCATATTTTTTACAATACAAAATCAATTAATAAGAATTTTCGATTACAAGTCTCACCTTCTAGATACACCACGTTGGCAGCACTTGAACTGGATACTTTTCTGGGTATGTTCAGATGTTCAATACTAAATCTGTCTACCTTTTTGTCTTTGCTGATCTACATTTTTGTTGTTTGTTTTCCCTGACTGAGAATCCAGTAATAGTCGTAACAGAAATGTGGGCCCCGTGTTGCAAGCAGTATGGGCCCAATCCTGTTTCCATGAAAGTCAATGAATGATAAAGCTCCTACAGATTTCACCAGATCAGGCCCTATTACACCAAATATAAATGATGCAGAAGCTGAAACTGATTCATCATTGGTTCAATTCATCATCAATCACAACAAAGTGGAATGTGTAGGCAGGGCAAAAATCTAACCCACCTTCTTGCGACTTGCATTTGGTACAGCTTTACCCATCTTGTCCAGCTTTAATACCAATAGAAAGGGGAAGCTGTTATGCACAGTGAATGCCATGTATAATCAAGTACTAAATACTGATGCAGTAAGTTCTGTGACAACCTCCAGTTTCTTTTTTCTCTTTTCGTACAGTAAGCTGCCAGCAACTACTAATCTTTCTCTATTAGACACTCTCTCTTTCTCTAGGTTTAACTGGCTGTATTCCAGCACTTGGTAATTCTCCAATAAAGATTACTTTCACAAAAATAGTTCCAAGTGGAACTCAACTTTACTAACAAGGGTTGTGGCCTGGGAACAGGACAC